AGGGGCTCGGGTTATGGGATGGAGGGGCACAAAGGGGTTGGGGGGCGGGGGGCTGCGGGGTTATGGGCAGGCCATATGGGATTATGGGGTGTGGGGGGGTTATGGAGTCGGAAGCACTGGGGACTTTGAGGTTATGGGAGGGGGTTATGGGGAGGGGGGTCGTGGAGGGACTATGGGGTCACAACCCCATAACATCACAGCACCCTGATAACCCCGCGTCCCATAACCCCAACCCCATACTGTCCCCCCAACCTCCCCATAAACCCAGCCCCCTTATAGCCCCCAAGCCCATAACCTTATAACCCCCAAAGCCCCCAACCCCATATGACCCCCCCAACCTCCCCATAACCTCAAACCCCATAACCTTCTCCTCAACCCCCCATTAACCCCCAAGCCCATACTGTCCCCCCAACCCCATAACCCCCTTCTCAACCCCCCCATAGCCCCCGACCCCACACACCCTCCCCAACCCCCCTATACGGAGTGGGGCTCTGTGGGTTTCTGGGGCGGGGGGCAATAAAAGGTTTCGGGGGAGTCCAGGGGGGGTTATGGGGGCTCGGGGCAGAGGGGGCACAGTGCGGTTACGGGGGGGACATTGGGGTTTACGGGGACGTGTGGGGGTGGTGGGGGTGGTTGTGGGGCTGGGGAGGACGGGAGGGGCAGTGGAGGGTCGGGGCCACTCACGGCGCTGCCATCGCGGTGACAACCGGGGACATCTGTGGGGGGGGGCACAGCGCCAGCGGGGGGAGGGGAGCCTTAAAGGGACCGCGCCGGGGGGAGGCACTGTGCCCCATTGCACCCCATGCGGCCCCACAGCTCCCTGCACTGCCCCACAGATCCCCACAGTGCCCCCCATCCGCCCATAGCGGCCGTTGGGCTCAGTTCGGATCAGGCATTGGGACCCAGAGAGGAGAATTTGGTGCCACCTGAAAGGGGGGAGCGGATCCATCACATCTGTGGGATGAAACAGTGACATCTGGGGTTCAGAAATAGGGAATTTGGGGCTGGCCCTATGGGGCTTCGGGTCCTGAATACGACACTGGGCCACGGGAAAATGAGTTTGGGGCAAAAAAAATGCAGATTTGGGCAGAATAAAAAATGCAGGTTTGGGGAAATGTGAATGAGGGGGGGGGTTGGGGGGCAGGACTGCAGGAGTGTGGGGCAGATGTGAGGAAAGGGACGCAGGGGTGGGGGACGTGGGGACACGGGGACGCGTGAGGAGATGCCGGCCGTTAGAACGAAGGAGGCAGCGCAGCCTTTCAGCCGTCACTGAAACGCTGAAGTCTGACGGCGCCGTTGGGGCGTTCGCTCATCTGTGTGCAGCAGTGCGAGTCGTGCCGGGGGGCAGCGGCGCCTTTGGCTCATGGAAATCGCACACAAAAATGAAGTCAATAACTTCGGGTTTTTCTCATTACAAAACAGCTTTAATTCAAATTTTTAACCCCAACTCGTGTTTGTTGATAAACGCCAGAACTGAATGCAGCTTGGCGAGCCGAGGCGGAGCGGGAGGTTGGAACTCAGCGGAAGGGCGCCGCATCGGAGCGGAGCCCCGCCGCGCTCCGGGTCCGCCAGCAAAAGCTGAGAGACGTCGGGGGGCGGCGCGCAGCTCCGAGTGTGAAAAGCACCGCGGGGCCGTTGGAAACGCGACGGAACGGGACGAAACGCGGCGCCGCGGGGAGCAGCAGAGCAGGGACGGACGGACGGACGGACGGACGGACTGACGGCCGCGCTGCAGCCCGGGCCTGGCGCGGTGCGGGAGCCGCCGTCGGGGCCGCGTCCTTCGCGCCGTCCCTCATCTCCTTTCCCCACGCCGCGCCCCAACCTGACCCAGCCGAGCACAGAAAGGAGCCGAGCAGCGCGGAGGCGCCCCCGGCCCAGGAGAGCGGCGGGTCGGAGGGAAGCCGACCTCCCCCTTCCCAGCCCCGCCTCCCTCCGCCCCTTCCCCAATTCCCCCTCACTTCTCTTCCCATCCCTTTCCCCTTTTCTTCCTCTTCCCTTCCCCCCTTTTTCTCTCCTCTTCCCTTTTTCTCTGCCCTCCCCTTTCCTTTTCCCCTCCTCCTCCGCCCCCATTCCTTCTCCTTTCCCATTCTCTCCCTTGCCCTTTTTCTCCCCCCTGCATTTCCCCTTTTCCAAACCTCTTATCCCTTCCCCAACGCGTTTTCTCTTCTCCCCCCTCTCCTTTCCCCTCCCC